GAATAATGTTTTTTACGAAATGAATTCTGTTACGAGTCGAACTTTCAAAAAATATATTGTAAATATGTAATTTTTACGTATATTCCTACTTTTACTACAAAAATAGTCAAAATGAATAATTTATCGACAATATTATTTTGTGATGTTAAATTTTCACCGTGTTTTTAATTGTATCAAAACTCAGTATATGATTATTTACTAGCTTTTTCTTTATTATTTTATTTAAACTTATTATACAAATATATGATTTACTGTAATCGACTGCACTCTAACAAAATTAAAATGTAACATATTCTAATCCGTTAAAAGTTATATATATGTAATTATTTCCCCCGCGCTGTAGCGCGGGTCCGAACCTAGTCCTTCATACATTTGGCTTCTTCTAAACCACACACTCTTTATGCCAATAGTTTCTACTACGTACACGGTACACTAGAGTATCTATATTATATATTATAACATTTGATATCTTCTTCTTTTTTTTTTTTTTTTTTTTAATAAACCCGATCGGCTGATCCGGTCAGCTCTGGGAGAATCACATTAAAGTGCTACAATGTGGACTCGTCGCCAATACCTAGGTGTTGGGGTACCACATCGCCTGAATCCAGATTAACGCTTTCCGACTAATGCTCGGGGGTAATCAGGCCGCCTACATTTCTGATTATCAGGTAAACCAATTGGGTCTAAACCCAAGTGACAGATTTCCCACAAAGATGGTGTCAACAGCCAAGTGGAGAATCGAACTCAAGTTGTGGGAGTTGCACCCTTCCTCCAAGCTCTCCTACCACCAGCCCACCACCTCTTGGGCAAAACATTATTCTTCTTATATACGATCCTGAAATTGATGTATATTATTGGTGATTGGTTAACAGTTACAAATAAAATAGTTTAGGAAATACATGTTATCTTTCTTATCTCTTTGAATCAAGATTTAGGTTTTATATATGTTGATAGTGACATGTAAATGCATTTATATCTCTCCCACAAAAGACATAATTTGGTGGTCTAAACAACTTTGATATATATACGGACATATGAAATTTCAACTCTCTATTACAATTCAAAGAAAAGAAATAGTGTACCGTTTTCACTATTTTATTCAACGTTGGATGCATTAGACGACGTATTAAGGATTCGAATTGACTCTCAAGTTGACTTTCTTATTAGACTTATACGATACTACTACCATTACCATAAATGTTTATATAATAGTATCAAATATGTAGCTATACGACATAAGATCGAGATGATCATAGCATCATTCGTAATTGTGAAGAGTTCATATTAAGGATAATTTAAAACATTACTCGGTCGCATAATTTAAAGCACTGATTATGTTAAGCTTTTCAATGACTTAACTTATACTAAAATAGTAAAATTAGTGGTGTTGATCGATTTGGATAAATCAAAACCTATTTAATTAACTTTGATCACTGATTATGTGTAGTTTTATATTTCAAAAAACATCAAATTCAACCAGAACATATCTTCTGTTCCAAATCATATAACAGAAAAAAAAAAAGAGTTGTAAAAATATGTAAATGGATGTATAACATAATGTCTTAATTAAGTGTGCAATGTAGAAAACATATAATATATATAGAAGAAGTTTTAAAAATAGAATTGTAGATAAACATCGTAATCTAAAGAAACAGTGGGAGAGAACGAAGGGAGAAGCGTACACGGAAAACGAGGGGGATTTTGGGAGAAGGCAATGCGACTAAAAGAGCAGCTGTCTCTCAGACTTATTATTTTTAAAGTGTTTTTGTCTCTTTGTGTTCTGTCTGAATAACGCGTTTTAGGGTTTTGCGTTACAAATACACATTATTATCCAATTTTTATATTCGAAAGCCCATCTTCATACTCATCTGTTGACTTTGACCTTTTCTTTTCTTCTTTCTTCTTGTAATCTTCTTGGGACAAAATTTATATATAAAGAAAACAATTAAAGTTTTGGTTTTGTTTAAATAAAAACTCACCAATGCCGCAATCATCGGTAGATGTTCTCACCTTGACATTTTCTGATTTTTCCTAAAGTCAACAGGTTGTTTTTCCCGCGCTCCTGCATTTTACTCAGATCGAATCTTGACCTTTGCTCTTCATTTGTTTTTTTTTTATAGTTTAATGTACAATAATATTCGATTTAGCTAGAGCCTAGAGATCTACATTGTGTTTTCTTTTTATTATCTTTATAACCAAATCAGACCTGAGATCTACTAAATTGATATCACCATTTGATTCTTTAAAGATTCAGTAGTGTGCTGAACACTACCATGCAATTAGCTTAAGTTGGTTTGCTCTGATTTCAGTTTCTTGTAATCAATCACATTTATATCCTTACAAAACTATAAAGCAACTACTTTAGAATATACATCGGATTTCAAAGTCAAGGAATACATTTTTACATATGGACCTCTCTCTTTATAATTATCCAAACGATACACATGGCTCATTTGGCTTGGACCGACGATAGCTAACTCTTTTGTCCTTTATTCCCTTGCTACCATTGACAAGTGACATGACAATCTTTTTCCAAAACTTTATAAAATTTATTCATTTATTTAGCATTTGAGTTTTGAAATTGTGTCGTGGTCAAAGGATATTATATCAATATATATATAGATAAGTCAGCTGGACAATATTTCCAACAAATATATATTGTGGATGATTGGTTCGAAGTTGAGTCGTCGTAACGTTATTTTTGTTATAGACGTATTTGTTTGTAATTAGAGGTTTCTGTCGATAACTATATTAAATTCAAAATAAACACTACTGGTCATGAATATTAAAATTTCAATATTGTGGATTAAGCTCATTTTGTACGAGTTATACTTATCGATGTCGATTGGAACATGCATATATACTTTACCACTAGACCAAATTGTGTATTATTAATTAAGTCTATTTAATTAAACTCCCATCGGGGAAGGCAGTTCAAAGGGTTCAACCACTTTTTGTGGGATTGTATAATAACCCTAAAATATTGGGGTTAAACATTGTATGCCCACCACCTTCTCCTGAATTCATTTTTATTTTTTACTATACATATCTAGCTCGACGAAATTGTAGCTGTTACCATCTATTGATTGATCTGAAATTTTATGTTCTGGAATGCTAAATTTTTGTATGAAGGATTAAAATGTGAAATGAAGCAGCCAACATAGTCAAAATTAGCTCAAATGAAAATACCTACAAAGTACCAAGTGGTCACTTGCAATTGTTATCTGAAATTATTTAGGATAACTCGAGTGTTAGTAAAGCTTGGTTGAATAATTGATGGTCAATACCTTGGACTTTTGACCATTTCTTCTTCACCTATATATATACATAATTCTTAGATCTGATCTCGTGAACTTTAGCAGTTAGCTAGCTATGATCCTGTGGTCAATCATACCCATTGTATTTATTTTTATTTCAGCTTTGAAAGCAATATATTTTTTATTCAGGGTAATATAATATGGATCTACAATTCAACTTAATTAACAAACCCCGATAGGTGCACACTAAAATAATAACAAACCCCGATCTCATCCATGTCCCATGTGCACACACATGTATACGACATACATGCTACATATCTAGCACATATATATATATAAAATGGTGTAGTTTTGAAAAGTGAGATTAAAGTCAGTACGCAAGGCACTAAAATAGCATGTTCAAATAGCATTCTGAAGTATATATATATTAGACCTTTTTAGTTTTAACTAATCGCACTACACTTAGATGTGTGTGTGAACGATAATTATGTTGCATAGAAGAAAAAAAGATTTGAGAAATAATATTAATATGATAGACAATAGTATAATGTATATATGTACGATACGAATCGGAGTCGTTGGATACACAGATGTTGATATGTGTGTACAATTTCTATAATAAAGAAGGACCAAGTGTTGTTTATTCGGGTAAACAAATATTGTATTCGCAATTTGGCGATTTTCGAATTGTTTTCTTATTGTTTAAAGTAAAACGTAAGAAAAGGGAGTGTGTGGACGTACGTCCTTAGTTTGCGGCTGCTACTAAACTTTTTTAACGAGTGGACCATGTCAAACCAGTTCTTACATCAACAAGATTTGGTTTCCATTAGTCTCATTATTAATTCATTTATGTATGCATCATCTTAATACGGTACATTACACAATAGTATATCTTTTCGTACAAATAAAAACAGTGCACGCGTCTACACACAAAACCTTACACGTACGTTTGGTACGCATGCGTGTAACATGCTAATATGTCCATTTTGATATCATTGGTAATTTATTAGCAATTTTGAGGTTTAGTCACGTATACACGTTTAACACTAAATGTACATTTTGACTAGGGTCGATGGTATAAAGTATTAGCAGTTGTGAGATTTAGTACGTATGCGTGAAACACTGAAATGTACATTGAAATGGATCGATGGTAATTAAGTATAGATATATCTCCAACATAGCATTTTTGAAACAATTTATTATGGCAAGAGTTTCTCATAAACTCATCACGGCCGGGTACGTACTATATCAGGACCAAAATCAACGAGTCTAAATTGGCCACACGACAACGACTTTGTTTTTTTTTTTTTTTTTACTTAATTTGTAGTGGAAACGAAACCATAACTTTCACAAATTTACACTGTGAAACTGATTGGATCCTTAACCACCACCATACGCAGGTTCATGATGATAACAATTTTTTGAATGGTACGTATTAACAAACGTAGCAATTCTATATTTTACTGGTTAAAAAGGCAAAGTAGCATTTGATCATACGCGTTTTCTTATTTTTCACCACATTTTTTAATCTACTAATTAAATAAATCGATCAAATCATATATACTGATGGTCCAATAACATTTTTGTTGTGTTCTGTGTCTGATGGTCCAATTCCAATATCATCCATGTATTGACCTGTGAAGTTATATATTATATAAAAGAAACAAAAAATGTAATAACGTGTTTAGTGAAAAAAGGAGGAATGGCTTGAGTTGGAAGCAACCGACATGAAGGTAAAGGGGGAAAAAGAAAATAATAAAAACAGCTAATAACGCGTTATAACCACACGTGCTTATGAGACAATACGATCGATTTTTTTTACAGTGTTAAGCTTTTTTGGGTCGGGGTCGGACAGGGTCCGGTCCGGTCAGGGTAGGTCCATGATCTTGACACTCCATTCTCTTCAGACACAAAAGGTTATGTTCTGAGAAAAGCGTGTAACCCCCACCTCCCTACAAAAAAGTTTTCATGATACATATTGTAACTAATAAACGAAGAAAACAAAACTCAAAATGGTAATAAAGATACAAAGCTGTAAATCCTGTATGTATTGTAGCTAGCTTACCAAATTATCGATTGGTGATAAATGAGAACGGTATGTATTTCAAAACAAAAAGTATATTTATTACCACAACGTTAAAGAAAGAAGAAGCTACTCTATGTTTACCTTAAAGGTTATATGTATTTCATTTTCATTTTGCTTTTCTGATATACTACTTCCTTTTTTTTTATATGATGTTTAAGGTTTTTACACACAAATTAGTAAAACATATAATTTCTCTAATTCTAATAAAAACATTTAAAATTTTTGAAAAGTTGAAAACATACATCACTTAAAATGAAACAATTTTTTTTGGTTAAAACATCAAATTAAAAAAACAGAGGGATCAGAGTATATTTTAGTAACAGATAAAATAGTTTAATTTTCTCTATGAATAGATTAAATTCGGTTGTGTAGGAGAAAAAAAGAAATCATTGACATCAGCATAACTTCTAAGAAATTAATGAAAATTCATAATTGAGGATAACATTTAAATTCATCATAAAATGGGATTAAGGCCTATTTATATCATTATTTATTACCATAAACCATTATTTCATACTTTTGTAATTATTAATATTTTATATAGATAAAATTAACAAAAAAAATATGTCTTTTGTATTTTACATATCCTTTTACGTTTTCTAGTCCGATTATTTTTGAAAAATTAATTAGTAAACTTATGTATATACAATTACATTAAAAACATTGTTCCGTAATATACAATCGAAGTCATCGTACTAGTACTAGAAAAGATTGACGAAGGCGTGGAGCAATAAATAGCTAAGGATCTTGACGAGTTGATGACTTGTCGGAGAAGAACCAAACTCTCTGATCTCTCTCTCTCTCTCTGCTGACGTATGCTTTGTGTCACCATTTTATTTTCGAAGCTTCTTTCTCACGCGTTATTCCTTTATTTTCTTTTTAAAAAATTACATACTTTCTTGCTTTTTTTTTTTTACTGTTTCTCATTTTTTATTCAACTATAATTATTTTATTAAACACTAATTTTGTCTGTTTCTGTTGGTTTTATCTCATCTTAAACGTGAAAGTATGTGCCTCACACTACTCACGTTAATTTCTAATTAAATTTCCTTATTGGAAATGCTGATATCTTGGTATATACTATATATAATCATGGGTATATATATATTAGTGAAGAGAAAATGTACTCTCAAACATTGGTAAATGGGTTCAAATTTAAAAAGAGATTTTGTAATCTACGTGTTTAATTATCATAGTTATTGTGGTGATTACTTTAATCATAGTTGGTTCCTTTAACACTAAACCTTTAAATAATTTATATATCTTTTACAGAAAAAGAGTAAATTTGAACAGTTGAAAATAAACTATTGCAACTGTAATATGAAAAGAATCGGCGACAAGACGTTCAAGTCAAAAAATAGAATTTGTAATTAAAAAAAAACAAAATTACGTCAGGAGAGGATCACGAAAGTAGTTTTTTACTTTCCTCTAAATAAATAGAGCAATTATATATTGGAAATGAAATGACAAGTTGTCGTTAAAAAGTTAAAAAAGTTAAAAAAGGAAAAATCAAAGAAAGCCGTGAGATGAGGTAGAAGAAGAAGAAAGAACCACACACACACACGAGTCATGAGTCACGACGACACAACTTTTTGGTTTCCGACGTGTCTGCCCTTCTCCTCGTATCTCTTTGGTCGACCAGACGACCTTTTCTTACCGGCTTTTTATAATTTCTCTTTCTAGTACGATACAAAACTACGCGTAAAATGTAAGAGTCTTTTTTTTTTTTTGGCTATAAGATTAATTTATTTGAGTCAAAATCTCGTATGTATTTTTTATTTGTTACAAAAATTAGTTTAACTAAAATTGTTTATTTTGTGATTAGAGTATTCGTTAGGATTTTTGATTCGGATTTTTGGACTCGAATAATACTAATAAGAGAGTTTAATATTTTTTTAATATATATCGTTTTATTTTTGATTTTCGAGTAAGCTTTTCAGATTTGGTTCGGGGTCGATTCAAATAATTTGAATAAAAATATTTTAAAATGTTATGATTATTTAGTTTGGTTTTGAATTTTTTTGATTTAGTTTTTAATTGGTTTTTGGATTTGGATTGCTCATGTCTAATTTGAGAAGTGAGTAAAATATAATTACTGAATCAAACATAATTTTTTCCTTCATTAAAATGTCTTTTAATATATAATCAGCTTACAGGTTAATTTATATGTTATGGTTTTGCTACATTCTAAAATTTTAGGAGATGGTTTTGTTTGTCAGTTTCCTCAACTATAATTTGGTTTGGTATGATGTTGTCCACGAATCGCTATCTTGTTAACAGTAATGTAATATTTTGTTTTTGTCTAATATTACTATTTACGTACTGTATATGGTTATGTCCTCGATGCCCATATGATATGTCTATCTTTTAACCATGTCTATCAAAATATATGCGTTATTCTTCAACTTTTTTTTCACGCTCATAGTAAAAAATGAAATGTAACGACCCGAGTTATATATGGACTAGAACAATAAATCAAAAGCGAAGTACATTATAACAAACAAAATTAGAGACCAAAATTGTAACAATATCGTTTAGGAGACACGACACAATGTAGGAATAAAGAACGAAATGAAGAGACAAAAATTAAATGCTCGGCAGAGGACGGCACCGTCTTGAATCCATTCACAAACCGTACGCCACACCCCTATCACCGGCGTTTACCGGTGAGCAGTGTTTTTTTTTTTGTTTCTTTTTCTCATTTCTATTATATTTTAATTATTCCAATTATTTTTATTTTTTTAATATTCCTCTGCCCGCGTAAATGAGACGAAATAAAATGAAATAAAATAAAAACAAATGGGAAACCTCCTAAATCCAAGCTGTTTTCCAGAAGAACCCAAAACTCCTCAAAAGTTATATTCACACCTCTCTCTCTCTCTTTCTTTCTCTCTTATCTCAAAAATCACATAAACCATTACAAAAGAAAAGTTCTCCTTTTTTATTTTTTATTTTCCCTCACTAAAAATCTCAGAAGATGACAATGATGATGATGATATATCTATAAAAAGTATCATCATCTCATAGATTCCATCTTTTTCTCTCTTACTTACATGGAGAAGAAGATAGAAAAGGATCTTCATCATCATCATCATCATCATCAACAACATCAAAAGGAGATCAAGAACACAGAGACAAAGATCGAACAACACCAAGAACAAAAGATCTCTCAAGCATCATCAAACATCATGGCGAATCTAGTTACGTCATCATCATCAGATCATCATCATCATCATCATCAGTTGGAGCTAGCTGCTGGGAATCTCTCAAGCATCTTCGGCGATACTTCTTCATCTTTACCTTTTCCTTATTCTTATTTCGAAGATCACTCTTCTAACAATCCCAATTCTTTCCTCGACTTGCTCCGACAAGATCATCAGTTTGCTTCTTCTTCTAACTCCTCTTCTTTTTCATTCGATGCCTTTCCTCTCCCCAACAACAACACCAACCCCTTTTTTACTGATATGCCCTTGCCTCAAGCTGAGTCATCAGAAGTTGTGAACACAGCACCGACTTCCCCAAACTCAACCTCAGTTTCATCTTCCTCCAACGAAGCTGCAAATGATAATAACAACAGTATTGGTAAGGAAGTTACTGTTAAAGATCAAGAAGAAGGAGATCAACAACAGGAGCAAAAGGGTACCACTAAGCCACAGTAAGTGATTCTTTCATCAAACCCTCCATTTCCAGATATGTTTGGTATGGATTAATTTTTACTAATCATTGTGAGTATTTCTTGTTTTGAAGGTTGAAGGCAAAGAAGAAGAATCAGAAGAAAGCTAGAGAAGCTAGGTTTGCGTTTCTGACTAAGAGCGATATTGATAATCTTGACGATGGCTATAGGTGGAGAAAATATGGTCAGAAAGCTGTCAAAAACAGTCCTTATCCCAGGTACATCTAACTCTGTATTTACATTTATATACATATTTTGTAGCCCTAGCTAGATCCATATATATGCATGTCTTTACATATACTTATATATGTAAATATGCTTCATATGTCTATGTGTTTACATCTACTTGACTACTTCATATGTGTATATGTAGATATACTTCACTAGATCGATCGGGTTTATCCAATCCATAAGGATCATTCACATTTTTTTTCTACATATTGTACACCTTAATTACATGTTCATTCAGATAATCACATGTATATATGTAACATATATACCATGTTAAAATCATATATATATACTTAGGTGTGAGTAGATTAGCCCTAGATTCAGTGTGCTGATCTACATATGCAGAGTCTATATGCATATAACATGACCCTATTCAATCATATATATATATATATATAGTACGTTTACTATATGATAATATATATATATATATATATAGACGACTGTATATACCTAATACGCGTTTTTGTAGGGTCAAAAATGTTTGATTTTTTTTTTGTTTTCGAGAATATTTTTTCTTTTGTTCCATTCCATGAAGTTTCTATGTCTTTGTGTTTTTTTTTTCTTGCGTCCCCTTAATTTATGTTTCTTGTGTCGGAAGATTCCTGTTTCAACTTGTTCAAAACTTCATCTCAGATCTCGAGATCTTAATTCCTTTTCTCTGTATATGTTCAATGTTTCAAACTAAAATAGATAAGAGATCTTTAAAATGTATTATTACTAAACCTTTTTTTTATTGATTGTGATAAAACAGAAGCTATTATCGTTGCACCACAGTGGGTTGTGGAGTGAAGAAGAGAGTGGAGAGATCCTCCGATGATTCTTCAATCGTCATGACAACCTACGAAGGTCAACATACTCACCCTTTCCCCATGACGCCACGTGGACACATCGGGATGCTTACGTCACCTATCCTAGACCATGGTGCAACCACCGCGTCATCATCATCTTTCTCCATACCTCAGCCACGTTACTTGCTGGCTCAACATCATCAACCCTACAACATGTACAACAACAACAACAACTCTCTAAGTATGGTCAATAGAAGCTCCTCCGATGGTACTTTCGTTAATCTAGGGCCAACATCTTCATCATTCCCCGGGTTTGGTTATGACATGTCACAAGCTTCTACTTCAACTTCTTCTTCCATTAGAGATCATGGATTGCTTCAAGATATCCTTCCTTCACAGATCAGATCCGATTCTATTAACACTCAAACCAATGAAGAGGTTAGGAAATGATGAACAACTCTTTTTTTTTTCCCGGGGCAATTGTTTTTTTCTTTTGGCCGGATCCGGTTATAATAGGTCTTATGAGGAGTTTTTCACCGGTTTAGGTAAACCGATGTTGCTGCCTTTGGCTTTTTAATGTTTTTTTTTTCCTTCTTCATTACATTTAGCATCGGTTTTGTTTAATCACCACGAAATAAACAATCGATGCTAAGTAGGAACAGAGAGGCTTGTAGCATATGTGATATATAGGTATAACTTCATTTTTTGTTTTGAGTATTAATAAAGATGTATCGTTTACTTTTTAAGACGACTTCGGCGAGTGAAGAGTTTAGTCTATAGTTAATTATATAGTATGTGTTTAGTTTGTATTATAATGTTTCTAGATCATCTAATATTTAATCATGCTATCAACTCACTAGCCCGGCTCAAATGAAGCCTTATACATTTTTATTCTATTACTTTTCCATCCCAAATCGATGTAAATTAACATGTCATAATCATGTATTCTTATAGTTACATAGATACAATATGTACGTAACTTCAGTTTTTCTAATATAGTCCAAAATGCAACGCTATCACACACCAAAAAGAAAAAAAAAGTTCTTATATGACCTAATATGAGTCTTGGCTACATATATGAAACTATATACTTTTCTTTAATGTGCATGGGTTCCATTTTCATTACCACTATAACCCCCCTTCATATATACTTATATAAACCATAAGGAACATATCTACATATAATTTCAAAAATGATAACAAAGAGCCTATATATTACAAGATATATATACTTCATATCTAACTAGTCATATATATATATTGGATGCTAAAAAAGAGAGGATCTTTAGCCTTAAACTCAAAGTCTCGTTTTTAGTTTTCTTCACTGCGACTTTTATGTTAGTCTTCAATCATCACACAGATAATATTCAAAGCACACACTGTTTGTGTCTACATGCGTGCTTGACCCACCCATTTAGTCGTAGATATGGTCATATGGACCATATTTAAACATAATCAACATCATTCGTTTTTTCTCATTTCCCCGTTAATGCAAACTGTAATATTTATAGCATAAGCTCTTTGCAAGTATTTAATTACAAGATAACTTCTTTTAAAACAAGTTGAACTGCTGTTATGGTATGTTATATTTTTAAAAATCATTTTATGTAACTCATCCTTTGACATTAATAAACAAACACATACACACACTGACACACCATATATATAAAGTTGATGTATGGAGGCTTTAGGTCATTTTCAGGAAGCTGATAGCTACGCAAGTCATGTATGGCTGATATTAAATATAAAAGTAAATGAGAAAAGCATAGAGTTAGTAATGTCCATAATGGATTGTCTTTTAATCACTAAAAAAATAGAAACAGAAGGAGTTCTAACAGGCTACTCATCAACCCTACTCCATCACCAACTAAGTATCGATCGAAACAAAGCATATTGCTTTGTATACTATGGAGAGTTATTAGCTTTGATCACTTATGTACATGTTTCTTTAATCGCACCATTCCCGTAAAGTTACACTCCTGTACACACACGCCACACCTTTGTATACGTATGCATTAGTCCATTTATTACTGGCACCATTTATATGTTACAGGGTCTTAAATGGTGATCCACTAGTAGAACTTTTTGAATCATAATTTGAAATCATATATATATATATATATGGAATAAGTTAATAACCAATAAGTTTCAATTATTTTCCAAACTTACAGTGAATGAAATAATTTCTTGAATTTATTCAACAAGAATGCACGTTACACTTAACTAAACTTTACACCGGTTTAGTTTGACCACTTCTTAGCTAATAATGAAAGAGTTGGGTAATCTATTGAAGATGACTTTGTGAGTTAAGATTGAGAATCCCATACAGCTGAGTGATCCATAGCTTTATCAGATAATTATTAGGATATTGAGATCAGTAGATCACACTGAACATTCTCATACATATGCTCATTCCTATGTTTCCAAATTTCCCAAATAATACATGGTATAACCAATTGTATATTCCTTGTGTACTAACAGTTTAATAAGCTTAAATATGTGTCCCAAGTTCTCAAAAAAATTCTGATTCACTTAGATTCAAAAATACTTTTTCATCCAAGCCTTACATCTCTCTTTGATAAGTTGATACAATTTGCATGATGCACATGCTTTTAAACTTAGAAACTAAGGTGGGGTTGAAATTAAGGATCGGAACATGGAGACAAAACTGAGAGAAAATACTCATCAGACCATTCTCATTTAGTCAATATGTTTTGATTTAAAGTCTAAAATACAACTCAAGAGATGTGAACAGAAGTGCACATGTTCTTAACGTCTAAGGCCCATTTCCATTTTTTTATAATAAAATAGTTTTGTAGAAAATAATTAGAGTATTGGGCCAACTATTTTAGGTGTTAAAATTAGACACTGGATTAAAATTTTGGAATCCCCAAGCCCACAATGAAGAAGAATTCCCAAACATAATCAAAATCAAACCGGCGACTTGGGACCAGTGTAATTAATAATCTCTATAAATTTTGATTTTGATTTTGATTATTAATTTTCAAATAATGTATTTTCTGATTATTTGAAGATTCATTGATTTTGATTTTGATTATGTATTTTCAAGTATTATGTATTTTCTAATCTTCAATATGTATTTTCAAACATATTGAAAATGTATTTTCTAATCTTCAAAATTATTTGACTAAACTACGACAACTTTTCTAATAGCCTCAGGACTTATAATTTCTATATTATCATTGAAAAAGTTGAAGACATTACAAGGTTTCAAAGACAAAGTCGCATGAATTTGAAGCCCTGCCCACACTAGCCAACTCGTCGAGCATCTCACGTCTCTTTTCCAACTTTTTAAGCTTTTCTGGTTCGATGGCTTTTGTGGAGAAAGTTGCTTTCTTCAACCGTCTTGTGTTTCTTAGAATATATGTGGCAACTTCTTTCTCATCTCTTCGTTCCCATTCGTATCTTGTCCACTCCAATGTCTCAAGACGGAACAACAAACAATCCGGTACACATTTCGGCTTTTTCCATTTTCGACCGATATGCTTTCCTTTGTTAGGATACGTAGATAGCTGATAACAATGCATGTATATATGTAATATTAGATCAACAAAGTACCTGAAAATGGAGTTTTGAACAACAACAAATAAAGTAGCTAATCGATTAATGAAATTGCTTACGTACGTTGATGAGCTTAAGGATTTGCAACTTGGGAGAACCATCAAGCATGAACGATAGTAGATTCCACCACTTACATTTATCTGTATGTAGCTCCAAATATACCAGCTGATGGAAAATTCTATCACCAGGATACTTGATCTATTTGATGAGGCAACTAACATTAGTACTAGACAAAAAAAGTTTAGGCCAATAGCAATGAAAACCCCATGAAAACATTATATCTAATATTACCTCTAAGTGTGATAGGTTTAACGAAAGACGTTTGGCTGAAGTTAGAGAAACCATAATGTTCTCATTGTTTATATCAGAAACTTTACTGACTTTTGCTTCCACCAGCTCTGGCGCTTTCTCGATCAGACAAAACTCAATCCCATATAATCCTTTGATGTTCAAATATTTTAAAGAAGGAGCATTTATCACATAGCCTCCATCATCTCCTCTATAGTCATCTTCTTCTATGGTTAGTCTCTGTAATGATGGCACCGCAATAGTGAAAGCCTTCTCAGACTGATAGAATCTGTTGTTTTGTTGCACTACCAAATCTTCAAGACAAGGACAACCACTTAAAAGGTTGCCAACAGATCCTTGAGTTTCAAAATGAACACAGTGCAGGTGCAGTTTTCTAAGGGAATTCAAACAAACCCGATAAGGAAAATCTAAGAGAAGGGAATTCTTGAGTTTTAAGGTCTCAAGTGTATTATTATCATAGATGCAATAAACACTTGGAAATTTAACTATACTGGTGTAAGCATCATCATAGTAAAAGTGATAGTCAAGATCGAGTACCAAATTACGCACATGGCGTGCAAATGCAATTCCAACCAATATGCCAACATCTAAAGCAGCGTCTCTGTTTTTAATATCCAAATGAAAAGTCTCTATAAACGTAGCTTTATGTAGCATAAGTAACCTGTAAACATCCTCTGTAAATGTATGGTGATTCTCAGAATCAAACTTGAGATTTTGCACCATCTTCCAAACATGTCTCCAACGCTTAGACAAAACACTCGTGGCTACGACACTTTTGGTCGGAAGAAAAGATAATATATGCACAAGCAAATCTTCAGGCAACTCATTTAATCTGTCCTCATTCACAACATCTCCGTTCCTCAAACTTTCGCTGTAATATGAAAAATTAAAGGACGTAAGAGTTTTAGAGTTGATAGATTTATTAATTAGGGTTACATAGAAAGAGATTCGAGAGAGAAAAAAAAAACATTAAACAAAACAAAGCAATATACCATTGTTGTTCCATCGTCTTTGATACAAACAATAAGTTGCTAAGATGCCTTCTCAATGCTCCAAACGCAAACGAATCTGACTAATAAAGCTTAGATATATGATATAACGCCACGATGCTTCAAAACGTTAGGAGTCAGAAAACCCTAAAAGAGTAGCAACGTGAGTTTTCTTCTGGATCTGAAACTAAACTGATTTCAACAATGTATTCACAAATCACAAGCCGACAAAACCAAAAAAAAAAAGAAGGGAATATAGTAGGGTTGTTTGGTCTCGACCCTTGACCTAGCCCCAATGGTTGAGGGAACTATCTCTAGAATGCTTTGTTTTAAGAAAATAACGAGATGTGAAATTTGCATTAAAATAGTTTATATGTTTATTTTAAAATATTTTATTTATTTTCTTGTTTTCAGGTAAATAATCGCAAGTGGACATTAAAATATATACTTTAAAATACAAAATATACTAAAAATATTATTTCATCCATTAATTAAATCAACCAATGAATATTATCAACTAAATTATGGATGAAAAATTTGCATATACGTCGTATATTGGCCTAGTTCTAACCTTAATTAAAATCTTTAGTACCATAAGTACCATATCAAAGTTAATGAAAGAGTGTATATATACTGGTGATTAAAAGGTCATTAGAAATTTTTTGGGTCAAAATCCAACATGTCTATAATCATATTTGTCAGTGAAGAGATGCATGAAAACGTTGATTTCATGTATAGTTTCTAATTTTAATATTCTGGTGAAAATTGCATGTATTAATTTATTTTATATAAGGTATTTTGAATTTTATAGATTTACTTTGTCTTGATTTTAAATCTTATAATAATTATAGATAAAGGATTGTAGTTATAACTACAATTAGTTTTAGTAACACAAAAATGTGGTTTATATTCATCCAACTAATTATATTGTAAAATACTTTAGAATATATTTGTACTAAAAATTAATAATTAGTTATATATATTTTTGTTCACAAATATTACGGTCAAATACTAGTATCTTCAATAAAACACACTTGTGAAAAAAAAAATTATATATTTTTAATGTCGAGATAACGGAAATATAATTGAAGAACGCCCCTCCTTTGGCGATTTACAATCTCTTTCTTCTCCATCTCTTTGTTTTCTTCTTCGATTCAGTCTGATTATGATCGTTGACACATCTTTAGATCATATCCATGTCTAAATTCCCATTTCTAGGTATAAATCTCTTACATACATACGATTCTTCAGGTTTTTTTATATGTGATTTTTCAGGAATTTTTTTAGGGATTTGGGTGTTGATTTTTTAGGGATTTCTTGGGAATTCAACTTGAATTGCTACAGTTTTAATCACAATGAAACAAAAGGTATGATCCCTACTTCTTTCTCACTTAATCTTTAGGGTTTTGGCTTTAGCAATCCAATGTTAAAGGTACGATCCTTCTTTTTTTTTTTTCCAGTCTTTGTTTAAATCTTTGTTTCCTTGGTTACGGTTCCTTGGTTTTGAATCTTACTTGCTTCTGTGATTCGTTGTTTCGTTGTTTCTTTGCTTGCTTCTTTACGTTCTTGCTTCCTTAGTTCTATGCCTTTTAATTTCTTGTTTACTTTCTTTTTTTTTTTTGCTTTCTTTCTTTGATTCCTTGTATGTTTGTTTTGCTTGTTACTTGCTTCTGTGATTCATTGTTTCTTTGCTTGCTTGCTTCTGTGATTCGTTGTTTCTTTGCTTGCTTCTTTAGGTTCATTCTTCCTTAGTTATATTATATGTGTCTTAATTTGCTGTTTACTTTTGCTTTCTTATTTGATTCCTTGTATGCTTCTTACTTGCTTCTTTACATTTTTGCTTTGTTACTTGCTTCCTTTGTTATGTGCCTCTTAATTGCTGTGTAATTCCTCAGTTATATGTGTGTTTGTGTTTGCTTTCTTCCTTGGTTCCTTCTGTGCTTCCTTATTTTCGTACATGATTCCTTGTGTACTTCCTTACTTGCTTAATTGATTCGTTGTATGGTTTCTTGTTTGCCTCCTTAGATGATTGATTCCTTTATTTTTTTCCTCTGTCCTTCCTTGATTCTTTACTTGCTAGCTTTACTTAATAACTCTGTAGTTTCATTTCTCAAATAGAATTGAATATTTTACTTTTTGCTTCTCAGGTCTACAAGAGTGTAAGAATCAGGTCATGTTCTTACTCAAACTGGACTAAGGTTTGTAATAATAAATATTTTTTTTACGTTCTTAAATCACATGATCTATACATAAGGAGCTTTAAAATAGTTGAAAGATGTAGGAGCTAAACCAATAACCGTAACAAGAAACAGATTTTTGGCGAACATAAAATATTTTGCTGGGTAAGTTGGTTTTAATCGTTTTTGAAATTATATAGTAATTTAACACACTGCTTCTCCTAACTTGTTTATTTAGCAGTTATGGATTGTTGTAAAGCCAAAAGTTTCTATAGGGGTCGGGTCTTTGTGCAGTCTGGTGTGTCACTTAGCTTTCTTGTTATGTCGTCAGTGCAATGTGCTATCACGTTCTTTCGCTAGTCCATGAGATCTGGAAACCTATTCCTCGAACTGTAAGTATCTGTTCTTTTGTACTTCCAGGATATATTTTCACTACATTATGTCTGAGCATGTCGCCCTTTTTATTACATGTAAAAAAATACATTGCAACCCCCAAAGCCTAATGGCTACCAAAGCCTCCATACTACTGTGAAACCGTTCTTGTACGAGAGCATGTTTCTACATTAAAACTATGTTTCTATCAAAATTCTCTTTACGTTTTTGCTTCTTCTCTTACGTATTCTATTTGCAGATAAAGCACCTCTCGAAAGGGGACACCATTGTTGACTAATGCTTATCTGATTCACACGGAAATCGAAAGCAAGATAGTAGCAGCAAAGGTATTTTTCCCATTCCATGATATCCTTGAAATACATAAAACGGTTAGACAAGACTTTCGGACATTTGATGGCATGAAACTGCAGGTAAATGGTTATCTTGTTTCTCCAACTCACATTCTTGAGAATGTTGATGTCGTGGAGACTGTCACCTACAACATTTTGTACCTTTTCTCTCATGCATTTTTTTTTCATATCTCGTTTTCTTTTTTTCCACGTACGGAAATTATGATTAGCTTCTTCATCTCTACCTAGGTTTCACGAGCTTTCATGTTCCTTTTTATTGCTACAGCCCCTCTCGAGCAAATCTGTTTTCCAGAGACATAAACAGTGGTTGTAACATGCCAAAACAAGGAGTGCGAGACAGAAGATTATGAGGGTATATTATTGGTATTCACATACTTTATATGCTTATTGGCTCACTTTTACTAATTCTTCATGTATCTCCTCTTGTTCAAGTCAATGACTTTGTGGCAGACTTTGATAGTGATGCAGAACATTCAAGAAAGAGCTTACAATGGTGGGAGAAAATCCTCGTCAATGTCAAGCAGTTCCCACTTCCCAGTCACAAGACAAAATCAGATATACATCACGAGAAAAAGGCAGAGATATTACAACACCCACCTCTCAAAATGGAGCACTTGGTCCCAAAGGTGAATTGAAAACACACACAAAAATAGCAATAGAAACTCGAGTTTAGATGAGTCAAATTTCTTCTTACCAGGTAATGGAATTGCCAAGATTTTTCCTGCTAAAAGCTTAGACAGTTGGCGAGACACTAAAAGCTCGAAGGTCACTCCATCGAATGGTTCTGTGTAGTATACATGGATCGGAAAGGTATGTTATCCTTGATTTTTTGTAGTCGTGATTGATGATTTTAACAATTCGAAAGTAAACCAGAATTTTTTTTTTGTCACATTTTGGCAGGCATAATCTCAAAGGTTATAACAGTCCTTACAGCTGAAAGGTTCTGTGTAGTATCCATGGATCGGAAAGGTATGTTATCCTTGATTTCTTGTAGTCGTGATTGATGGTTTTAACAATTCGAAAGTAAAACCAGATTTTTTTTTTTTTTTTTCACATTTTGGCAGGCATAATGTCAAAGGTTACAACAGTCCTTGCAGCTTTCAGCATCGCAGTATGTTCTTGTTTGGTAGCCTTGATATTACCTCTGAACATATTAAAGTTTCCAACAGCTCATCTCACAAATCTTATGGTTTATTCCTGGCCGAGGAAGAGGATTAGCAGTAATGTTGCTTCAAATAGAAGCAAACATTGAAAGCTTGGTAATATTTCCTAAAGTTTTAAACTCCTGTTCTGCACTTTTTTTTGGATCTTCGCCCACTAAGCACTAACCCGTGTCTCTGTGGATATGTTAACTCCCCGGTTATTGTTTTGCGCAGGTGGATCTACTCTTGGGATGGTCGAGTTGTTTTAGCTGGCCAAAATCAACAGATAATGCTCAAGTTCTTGAGTGTTATAGCCAAAAGACTCACTTTCTTGGCCATGAGGTTTTTTCATGTTTTTTCTTCTTACTTGCTTCTTTGATTCGTTGTTTCTTTTGCTTGCTTGCTTTGTTACTTGCTATATTCATTGTTTGTTTTCTTGCTCAACTTGTTTGCTTTTGCTGCTTCTTTGCTTCCTCTGCTTTGTGTATTGCTTGTTGTTTCTTTGCTTCTTTGATTCCTCTTTTGTGCTTCCTTGATTTCTTTGTATTGTTTGTTCTTTTGTTTTCGCCCAACTTGTTTGTTTGATTCCTCTGCTTTAGTGTATTATCTGTTCCTTTGCTTCTTAGATTCTTCTTATGTTTGTGCTTTTTTTGGCTCAACGATTTTGTTTGCTTATTTAATTCTTCTGTTCAGTGCATTGCTTGTATTTTTGCTTCTTCTATTCCTTTTTTTTTTTTAGCACTGTACTGCTAGCTTTTGTGCTTCCTTTATTCATATGTTTAATGCATTTTTCGTTTTTATTTATTTGATTCCTTAATTCCTCTCAATACTTGAGACTGAATAGATTTTGTGCGATAAATTTTTGTATTATTCATTTATAATTTTTGTTCGTTATAAATTTTTGTATTATTCACTTAATTCCTCTCAATACTTGAGACTGAAAAGATGTACAAACAATTATTTATTTCATATGAAATAAAATGAGATTTAACCGACCATCTTTTATCTAGTTAATTTAACAAATTTTATTTTATTTTATATTATATTAATGACATTTCCTAACAACAAATCACTAAGACACAAACTAATTAGACTATCTAACCTAATTAATTAATTATCGACGGAGGCGGTGCTGAGCTTTTCGTGGCACCTTTTAATATGTCTTATTACGACGTAAAATCATGTTGATTTCTACTTTAAAGTACAAAATACAAAATATACTAAAACTATTATTTCATTAATGAATTCAATCAATGAATATTATCAACTAAATTATGGATGAAAAATTTGCGTATACGTCGTATATTGGCCTAGTTCTAACCTAAATTAAAATCTTTAGTACCATAAGTACCATATCAAATTTAATGAAAGAGTGCTCTATATAAAAAGATAATTTAATATTCATACCAATTAACAAATATCTCAATCTTATTTTATTAAATCTCATACAAGATCAACAATAGTCTATATCAAATTTTATGAGCATGTTTAAAATCAATCAAACTAAACACGAAACCAAAAGAAAACAACACCCACATTAATATTGTATTAGTAAAAAGAAAAGTTAGTACTAACCGGTCGTATGTAAGAGCTTTAGCATATTATTATCGGTAGATAAAGTTACATTTCCAAATGGCCAACATACACACCATATCCCTATATTAGTAAAAGAGAAGTACAAAAACTTCATGGGTCGGATTATTTTAGAAATTTTTTTAAAATTAACCCGATTAGCTTAATTGGATACTAACCCAATTAGATCAATTTTAAGACATGGGAATGACCCGGGATCTGAGTTTTCGAAATTGAGTTTTTAATGCTAGATTTCCAATCCACTTAATTTAGGATACTCCATTAGTGATATGGAAAATTATAATAACTGAAAATAGCAAACAATTTCAAAAAAAAATTATCATACTAACAATACAATTCCGTAATTACTGAGATCACGAGTGACTGGAAATCTTAATACTACAGTTTTAATTAGTTGGAATTAATTAAATGTTTCTTAAAATCAGAAAATAAAATTTAAATATATTATAAAAACGAAATTAATTATAAAATTTAGGGTGATGTTTATAATTATATTAAATCTTTGTTATTAGATTTTTTATCTTTTCTAATATGTAAAATGAAAGATTTTAATCAGAATATAAAAAAAAATATGATAGAGTTTCCAAGATTCTTCCTTATCTTTATCAATTTGAATTACCTATTAAAATGGAAAAATACATTAACATTAGCATAATTAATGAAAAATTAATTATGGAGCTCATATCATCTATCCCCTTCCCCTATAGTAAAAGAGAAGTACCACTTTTATATGAGTTGATGGGTCGGGTCAAAATTAGCAATTAATCCGAAATTAAACAATTGGATATTTCAAAATTGGATATTTAACTGAGTATGGATATCGGTCATATACTTTTCCAGCGGTTTATATTATTTCCATATCTAGATTTCGGATTTCCTAATATTTCTATAACTAATTTAAAATAATAAATTTTTTATTATTCTCTTTTAACTTTTATTTTGCAACGAGTCAGAATATGATACACACCACTTAATTTTTAGGGGTCTTAAAGAACATTAGTAAATCAATTTTTAACATTAGTACATACAAAGTCTTATTAACAAAATATACTATTCAAATATTGATTAAATTTAATTAATATTACAAATAAATTTTACTGATAAACTATATTAAGTATCAAACTATATAAATCACAGTAATTGACGGGTTATTTTTTTAAACTCAGAATTAAATAGTAAAGCGAGTAATCAATAATATTTTTATGAATGCAATCCGTTACATATTGGTCATTCAAAACATATATCCGTTACAGACATGTGTGATTCGTCATAATCAACTCCATTTATTTAACACCGCTTCATGCACTAACCATACTTGCTACTGTTTTTGGATAATATTCAATACAAACTTTTTAGAAAAATTAGTTACGGAATTAGCAAATTCATAATATAAAAATGATATATTTGTAAAAAACTATATTTGTAAAAAAAAAAAATCTTAAAATACATTTGTATCACTTAGTAAATTAAAACATATTAGTAATAGTTCGAAAACTTTCCCCCGCGCTGTAGCGCGGGTCCGATTCTAGTGTATAGTGAAAGTTCAAGACATTTAGGTGGATTCAAAGACAAAGTCGTATGAATTTGAAGCCCTACCCACAGTGGCCAACTCGTTGAGCACCTCATGTCTCTTTTTCAACTTTTTAAGATTTTCTGGTTCGATGGGTTTTGTGGAGAAAATTGCTTTCTTCAACCGTCTTGTGTGTCGTAGAATGTATGTGGCAACTTCTTTGTCATCTCTTCGTTCCCCGTATCCTGTCCACATGAATGTCTCAAGATGGAACAACAAACAATCCGGTACACATTTCGGCTTATTCCATTTTCGGCCGATCTTAGTTCCATTGTTAGTAGACATAGATAGCTGATAACAATGCACGTTATGTAATATTAGATCAACAAAGTACATGAAAGTGGAGGCTTCTACAACAACAACAACAAAAAGGAATTGCTTACGTACGTCTATGATCTTGAGGACTTGCAACTTGGGAGAACCATCAAGCATGAACGATAGTAGATCCCACCACTTCCATTTATCTGTATGTAGCTCCAAATATACCAGCTGATAGAAAATGCTATCACTAGGATACTTAATCTGTGCATGAGGCAACAACATTAGTATTGGACCAACACCATGTTCATTAGGCCAATAGCAAAGAAAACCCCCAAGAAAATATTAAATCTAATAATTACCTCTAAGTGTGATAAGTTTAATGAAAGACGTTTGGCTGAAGTTAGAGAATCAAGAATGTTCTCATTGTTTATATCAGAAACTTCACTGACTTTTGCTTCCACCAGCTCTGGCGCTTTCTCGATCAGACAAAACTCAATCCCATATAATATTTTGATGTTCAAATATTTTAAAGAAGGAGCATTTATCACATAGCCTCCACCACCTCCTCCAAAGTAATAATCTTCTTCTATGGTTAGTCTCTGTAATGATGGCACCTCAATAGTGAAAGCCTTCCCAAACGTTTGATATCTTTCATGTACTACCAATTCTTCAAGACCAGGACAGCCACATAAAAGGTTACGAACAGATTCTTCGTTTCTAAAACGAACAGAGTGCAGTTGCAGCTTTCTAAGGGAATTCAAACAAACCCGAGAAGGAAAATCTAAAATAATGGAATTATTGAGTTTTAAGGTCTCAAGTGTATTATTATCATAGATGCAATAAACACTCGGAAATTTAACTGCACTGGTGGCAAGATCATCAAGATCGAGTACCAAATTACGCACATGACGTGCAAATGCAACTCCAACCAATATGCCAACATCTATAGCATCGTAGCTGTTTCTAATTTCCAAATGATAAGTCTCTAGAAACGGAGCTTTATGTAACATCAACAATCTGTAAACATCCTCTGTAAATGTATTGTGATTCTCAGAGTCAAACTTGAGATTTTGCACCATCTTCCAAACATGTCTCCAACGCTTAGACAAAACACTCGTGGCTACGACACTTTTGGTCGGAAGAAAAGATAATATATGCAGTAGCAAATCTTCAGGCAACTCATTTATTTTGTCCTCATTCACAACATCTCCATTCCTCAAACTTTCGCTGTAAAAATTAAACAACGCAAGATTAAGAGTTTTAGGGTTCATAGATTTATTAGAGCTAGAGCTTATTACATCTAATAGGATCATATATATAGATAGAAAGGGATTCGAGAGTTAGAAGAAAACATAAATATTGGGGATTATTATGTTAATAATTAGATATTTCCTATTATTGTATCTTATTGTATCTTGTATATCAAGTCTAGAATATTCTCTAGGGCTTCCACTCTTATGTATAAATACTCTTGTAAAGATAAATGAAGGGTAACACTTTTCTTGGCCACCAATATTGTCATGGTAGCATATCAGGTTTAAGAAAAAAAAAAAAAAGAAAAAAAAAAGAGAGAAGAAGGAGACGATGGCAAACGACGATGGCAAACAAGTTACACTCGCGGAAGGCGGTGCACGTGGGGGTTTGAACACCATGGGGATTGATAAGACTATGTTATCACCGTTATACCTGCATCCATCTGATGGACCAGGAAATCTAATCACAACGGTGCAGCTAAAGGGAGACAATTATGAGGACTGGTCCAAGCACGTGTGGAATGCCCTGCGGACTAAACGAAAGATGGGATTCATTGATGGCTCTTTGCAAAAGCCTCACACAGCAGAGGAGATCGAGCAATGGGAGGTCGTTAATTCGATGGTGGTGGCGTGGTTAATGAACACAATTGAACCCACGCTGAGGACCTCTGTTTCTATGGTTGATGAAGCGAAGGTTCTATGGGATGATTTGCAGCTGCAATTCTCTGCCGGAAACGGACCAAGGATTAGTGAGATTCGGGCATCCTTGGCTAATTGTCGACAGGGAGGAGATACAGTGATGGTGTACTTTGGGAAACTTAAAAAAATGTGGGATGAATTGGCAATATACAAGCCAATTAGAACGTGTAGCTGTGGTGAGCTGGCAGCTCAACTTGAAGCAGATCGTGATGAAGAGAGAACCAATACATTTCTCAATGGATTGGATGATTCTCGTTTTGGCACAGTGCGATCTACAATTACAAGTTTAGAACCACTTCCTAAGCTCTCTCAAGTCTACCAACGCATTATCCGAGAAGAGAGACAACAAACAGTTATACGAAACCGGGAAACGAGCAGTACCGAAGCTGTAGGGTTTCTAGCTTATGCTGGAACACGTGGTGGTCATTCTTCCCGTGAGCCATACCGTGAGAAAGATGTGACCTGTACTCACTGTGGGAAATATGGCCACGCACAAGCAGACTGTTTCCAATTAAAGGGATTTCCGGAATGGTGGGGTGAGAGAGGCCGTGGAAGAGGTGGTGCTCGTGGTGGAAGAAGCGGTCGTGGAGGTGGTACCATTGGTAATAATGCTGGGCGTGGACGTGGATATGCACCTGCAGCTGGTGCTCATGTTGCACAAGTCGCACAAGCCGCTCACGTCGGAGCAAACCGAGAAGAATTTGACCGAAACTCCTTACCGCAACTAACGGATGAACAATGGGATGCAATGAGGCAGTTCCTTAATACTAAGAAGAACGACTCTGGTGAAAAGCTAACTGGTAAGAAAGATAATGTTGAATTTATTATTGACACCGGAGCCTCTCATCATATGACATGGAAGCTTGATCTTTTAACCAATATTGGTGATATTTTCCCGTGTTCCATTGGTTTACCGGATGGGGGATTATGCTATTGCTACCAAACAAGGCGATCTCTGTTTAGGGGGTCATCTATGTGCTTCGTGGGGTCTTAGGTGCTCACGCTCAAGCTGCAACAACTATGGGAGCGAGAGACTTATGGCATTGTCGTTTAGGTCATCCATCTAGTAGAGTTTTATCTTATTTATCGAGTCATGTTGACATTGGGAAATCTGTTGCAACAGAGATCGTTTGTGACACTTGTTTTCGGGCTAAACAAACTCGTGTTGGTTTTCATGAAAGTTCTAATAAAGCTACTGAGCTATTTGCTTTGATTCATTGTGATGTTTGGGGAGCTTATCGCACGGTTTCTTCATCTGGGGCTGCTTATTTTCTTACAATTGTCGATGATTACTCGCGAGCTGTTTGGATCTTTCTCCTCAAAGAGAAACGCGAAGTAGCTGACTCACTTAAGAAATTTTGTGCAATGGTAGAACGACAGTTTGATAAAAAGGTTCGGGTGGTGAGGAGTGATAATGGCACCAAATTTATGTGTTTAAAATCATTTTTTGATCAAGCCGGTATTTTGCATCAGACTTCATGTGTCTATACACCGCAGCAAAATGGTCGTGTTGAGAGAAAACACCGTCACATACTCAATGTTGCTCGCTCTCTTATGTTTCAAGCACGTTTACCAGTTCATTTTTGGGGAGAATGTGTTCTAGCTGCTGCTCATCTCATTAATAGAACGCCGACCCCTCTCCTCGATGGTAAGACACCATATGAATTTTTATATGGTTCTCTTCCTCATTTTGAACGTTTGAAAGTATTTGGCTGCTTGTGTTATGCTTATAAGAAATCTCGGGATAAAGATAAGTTTGGTGAACGGAGTCAAAAGTGTGTTTTTATGGGATATCCGTATGGTCAGAAAGGTTGGAAGGTATATGACTT